CTCTCAGGTTTTCTATCGGCGACAGGTCGGGGCTATTCCCCGGCCATATGTCTTTCTTCCAGAATGCCGGAAAGTGCGATCGAGTATCGACACCTAACACCACTCCTGCGTGGTTCTAGCTCGATGAGCTGGGGTGCCGTCCTGTTGAAAGATGGCCCTGGACTTGTTAAGCAGACGTTTTCGGCTGAAGACGTGGCTTGATGGGCTTCAGCTTCAGAGACAATCTCAGGTACCGATGGATTGTCGACTTGGAGACTGGGTGACCGTTGGCAGTCAGCCTCCTTGCCAGTTTCCTTGTGGATTGGCCCGACTTTAGCACCGCGCTGCGCGATGACGATTTGCGCTACCCGGCTGACGGAACTCTTCCTGCTGCGACCCGGCTTGTTCTCAGGCGTCTATCCGTCTCTGTCGCGTGACAACCAGCGCCATATCGTGCGGCAACTCACGCCCATTGCCTCGGTGACCTGGCCGTGGGTCATGTCGCCGGCAACCATACCGACAGCCCGACTGCGGGTCGATTTGCTCTACTGCTTTGCCATCCTGGACGCCTGGTACAGTCGGGTACAGGTTAATGGTCCACTTCTCTTTATCCACCGGGTTCCTATGGCTCAGCATTGGCAGCAGCCGCCTGGTACCGGTAGGCTGTGCCGCATGACCCGAGAGTGAAACGGCACAGCCTACCCACACTGTATGACACCGGCTCGGGTCGCCTGGTAGAGCGATTTGACCGGACGCTGCGTCACACCGGCTGGGGGGGGGGGGGGGGGGTTCGGGTCAGGCCTGTCGATTTGGCTAGGCTCGGTGGATGAGGCGGACTGGAGTGTGGTGTGGGAAGGGAGTGAGCGGACCTGGGGCTGGGCGTGTGTGGTCACTTATCGCATAGAACCGATCGTATCCCCCCTCCAAAAATTCGTTTAAGAGATATTCACAAAACCCATGGAGGGTCAACCACCCATATCCCAAGTGGGGTGCGGAAGGACAGGTAAGGGTGCATACGGTCTTCTCCTGAATTGCAGCAAAGAAAGAAAACAGGTCAGTCACCAAATCATATTTCTAAAAAGTGGACTAAACGCAAAGCCTCGCACCGTGAAATAAATATCCAGCACGCGAAGCTTTTCAAACCGGGACCCTCACCACCGCGCCGGTCAGTTTGACAGTCGAGCACTCCCACGCTGAGCTATACCGGATGGTGGCTACGGCCGGGGCAAAGTCTGGCAGGCGGGCGGCGGGGCCGGGAGGTCGGCGGCAAAGTCTATTAAATGTTTTTGTGGGTTCGGGTGCCGGTCACTCTAGCTTGGTGGAATGATGATGGATCATTGGCAAAACTTACAGCGTGGATCCCGGTTCGAGGCTCATCAGGGCTCCGGCTGCTTTTCCGAGTTAGGATGGTTTGATTGCTATTGGTGGTTGCGAGCCATTTATACGGTTTTATACATGCCGATTTATTGTTTGATTGATTGATTCATTCATTCATGTAATGCGTAGCGTGCCGACATTTAGCATACGAATTGACATCCAGTATCAATCTACCATTTTCATAAACGTATTGCCTAAATATCATGCATAGGCACAAGACATATGGTTGCCTCGATACCGTGCCAAATCACGTATTACACAATGCACAAGTAAGTAAAGTAAATTTTATTCGCTGGGTCTTCCGTGCATTGTGCTTAGCAAAAACAAGAATGCAATTGTTAAGCGACGCAAAATGTGCAATGCAGCAAGTGACCACACACACCCGACCAGCCCCCATGGTCCACCAACACGCCCCACACCACTCGCCAGCCTACGCCAACCACTGAGACGAGCCCCTTCCCCCCCGCGCTGGTCTGACGCAACAGCTGGTCTACAAAGCGCTCCACCCGGCGACCCGAGCCGATGTCAAACGGCGTGGGTAGACTGTGCCGCATAACTTTCGGGTCCTGCGGCACAGCCTACCGGTACCAGGCGGCTGCTGCCATTTGCCAATGCTGAGCCATAGGAACCCGGTGGATAAAGAGTAGTGGACCATCAACCTGTACCCGACGTGCGCGCCGGGTACTGCCCCAGAAATGCCCCTTGTTCACCCCCTGACAGGTCAGGGTCACAAAATTCGAAGGTCACGTCACCATAATATAACATATGTATTTTAGGAGCCAGTACCGGCGAAATTATATTGAAATTTGCGCCCTAGCAGGCAACGTAAAGGTTGTGGGAGGGTGTGACATTAATTTTGGGACACCCTGCATAGAGCCAATAAAAATTCAACATCCTTAGACGAAGCAAGGGTTGTGATTCTAAGACATCCCAGTTCAAATAATTCAAAAGACTGGCTAAATAACTGAGGAAAAGCACATGGCAAAATTTAATTCAGAACTTCAAACAGTGGCATCTTGGGGCTACCCTCTAAGCTCGCAGAAAGTGCCTGGCTAATGTCCATACCACTGGGTAATTAAGCTTTACCAACGGTGCAAATTACCGCCCTCAAAGACGCCTATTTTCGGAATCACCACAGTGCACACCCTTGTGTGCTAGTGGATAAGCGGTGACAGCGAGTTCGCGGACGGGAAGCTCCACGTCGTTTGACCCCGTTCCCTAGCCAGCTGACAACTGGCGAGAGGAGGACACGCTAGACCCGGGACGACCGTGGTGGCATCTAACTGCGGCACGTTAAAGGGATTAACCCTCGCCGGCCGAGGGGGGGGGGGCGGGTGCCGCCCCCCCCCATAGGGTTTTTTCGCGATAGCTCCGAACACGCTGGCGATAGAGAGCTGAAACTTGGCATACCTGACCTTTGATACAAGCCGCATCTTTTGACACCAACCGCATTTTTGGGTCAGGTCAGGTCACTGACCTATGACGTCATAAGTGAACCTCTGCACGGTCTTCAGATGTCGCAACTTCGCAACGCCCTCACTGCCAGAGGAGATGTCACAGGGAAATGAAACTTGCAGGATCTAGTATCCATTATGAGTCTCACAACTTGTATATCTCGGATTTTTCCTAAAGGTCATATGAGGTCAGGTCATTTTCGTGACCTCACCATTATAAGTCAATGGGGAAAAATGAAAACTGCTATTCTGGCGCCGGGAACGATCTCCAACTATCTCAAGCACACAGAATCGTGATTTGATGCACTCCTTGCAAGGTTAGATGCGTCACTTTTGCAATGTTGACCTTGCGTGACGTCATTTATGACGTCATCAAGGTCATATTAGTTTTTCGTCAATAACTCTTGATCAAATTGAGCTAGCGAGTCGAGAAAGCCACCAATGGACTCAGGAAGACCTGCCGAATCGAATGATATTTGACATGCCCCCTTTCGACCAACTTCGTGACCTGGGGGTGCTGACCTGACCTTGACCTGAGGTCAACACCCCAAGTTGACCTGACCCGGACAAAAAGTATATCATTCGACGCGCCTGAGCGAGGCGAACACGATGCTGCCAAAATCGCGGCTCTGCGGCCGTTTTTTGCGAAGTTATTCACCAAAAACTGAACCGTACCCTGGGGCACTTGACCTGACCTCAGAAGTCACCGGTTGACCTAGGGCCTTAAAATCGGGTACCAATCTCTGCATCTCGTAACGGCGCACACGCTCGTTTTTTCCGCGACGCGCTAGCTCCACCAGGGGCGGAACGGCGAGGGGGGGTCGTACCCCCCCCCCCTCGGCCGGCGCGTATGTAGAAAACCAATAGGTCCGGCGAGGGTTAAAGTGTGTGTGTGGGGGGGGGGGCATCAGGGCCACCCCCCAAAGGTAAATCAGAAGAGAGGCCATCATAGCATTTGCCCCCCCCCAAACAACCGATGGGCGTATGGGCCCTGGCCCTTATTCGTTTTTGTCACGAGGCTCAAGAAACCCACGCCAGCTATTAACAGCTCCCATAACGGTCTTTGAGTGTCCTAAACTGGCCTCCAAGGACCCTTCAGGCTTCAGTGGCGGTCAAGCGCCCACATTGACCGCTGCAAGGACCCACATTGACCTCTGAGGACCCTCCACTGGCCTTTGGGGGCCCTAAACCAGCCTCAGGGGCCCAACCGGCGTCTGAGGGCTTCACACAGGCCTCTGATGGCCTCATTTCTGTCTATGGGGTCCCAAGACTAAGGTTTAGGTGCCTCTGAGGGCCCCGACTGGATTCTGAAGACCCAATGCCGGCTTCTAAGGGCCCGCATCGGCCTCTGAGGGCCTATCTTGACCTTTGAGAGCCGTCTGCTGGCCTCTGGGGTCCAACGTCGGGGCCCATGCCGGTCTTTTAGGGCCTCGCACTGACCTCTGAGGGCCCTACGCTGGCCTGTACGGACCCACATTAGCCTCTGATGGCCCAAGTCGGCCTCTAAAAGTCTCAAATTACCCTTTGAACTTTGTAGGCTCTCTATTGGTCTCTGAGGGCCTTAAACTGGCCTCTGAGGCTCCAAACCGTCCTCTAAAGGTCTCACGCCGTCCTTTAAAGGTCCCACGCCGTCCTCTGATAGCCCCATTTCTGTCTCTGGGACCCAAGACTGGCCCTTATGTGCCTCTGAGGACCCCGTACGGACCTCTGAAGGATCGATGCCGGCCTCTAGGACCCGTACCGGTCTTTACGGGCCTCACACTGACACCTGAGCCCCCACACTAGCCTCGGAAGGCCCCAAACTGGCCTCTATAGGCCCACAACGTGTCTATAAGGCGTCTGCACGGGTCACGGATGGCGTTTTACGTTCTTTGGAGGGGGGGGGGGGGGCAAGACTTACCTTTGAGTGTCACGCGCTGGCCTCTGAGGGCGCACATCGGCCTCTGGGGTCCCATACCGGCATTTGAGGCAAGCATGGTAATGGCCAACGGGCCCCTTTAGCACCGCGGGAGCCGCGGCGGCCGCAGAGCTTTTGAATAGAGCCCAGACTAGGTAAGGCTAATATGGGACACCCTGTAATTATTTGGTCATTTAGAAGTAGTCGCTGAACACGAGTGCGTCTGCGTCTTCCTGTTGGCGGAAGTGTGGCCGACGTGGGGGTGAGCTGACCGTTTGGTGGCTTTGTTTCAGTGTCGGCAAGACTGGACGGCCGGCGGCGGAGGGCGGCGGATCGGGCGGCACACCGGGTGAGCCGAGCGGCGCGCGCGCAGACGCCCGCCGCGGGCCGGCGTCTGCTGGCGGCCTGCCGTGGGTGGCGCTTCCCGGGCCTCTGATCGGCTAGCCCCCGGGCCACCTCCGACACTCTGACGGGGGGCACAGGGACGCCGCTGGCGCCGCAGTGCAGCTGAAATCGCGTCACTGGGGGGCAGTCAGCCAAGCAATAGTAAAGTCATAAACTCCCACTTCAATCTAACAAAAACAGCGCACAATTTCTTCCCGAATACTCAACCTTCAGTGGGAGTGGGACTGATTCTAGTTTTCTTTATATAATTGCGTTTGGTCCTTACGGCCGGTCTCCTCACCGACTTCGCCTGGCTGCGGCCTGCCACCAACCGGAACCATACCTGTCAGGAGGCCCATAAATGTCAAGCCAAGCGCCTGTCGCGCTTCGGACCCGAACTGTGGTAACCGGGAACGCGTGCTCTCACCACGCGGAGTCCAACGCTCTACTGACCGAGCTACGGGATTCGATGCAGCTCGTCACGGGGAGTCTAATGGTGGTCTTTGTTTTGCGCTACGTGGTCTAGAATGTCTAAAATTGAGTTTGAAAATTTGCCGTCATCATTTTTGAACAGTATTTTCGCTATATCTTGGCCAAAAAAGAGGTATCGATCTGAAAATTGGTATGTGGATAGAATTCGGTAGGTGACGGCGAAGATATCTGTCACATATATTCCATTTTTTCAAAATTCGAAAAACAAAATTCGAAATTCAAAATTGCTCTCTATCTTCAAAGCTGTAGGCCTGACAGCTCTTTCCGCGAAACCTTTGGGTCGAAAATGACAGAAACGTCATTTGTCTATTTCACAGTTCGCTACCCATCCACGGACACCGTGGCTATTCCGGGTAGTTCGTCAGCAGTACACAAGGTTACACAGGGAGTAGCACACATACCACATTCGGTGACAAACCATGCTCCGTTCACTACACGATGCACTATGTGACCTGAGCGCTCAGCAGGTACCGGCGCAGCTCCGACTTGAAGCGGGGCAGGCCTAGCTCACGCATATCATGGGGCAGTTCATTGAATTCCTTCACGACAGAATACATGAAACGCCGCCGTCCCGACTCAGTGCGAATGGCCGGGGTGTGAAGCTGCTGTACTTGCCTCGTCTGCCGCGAGTGCAGCTCACCACGCGTCACTGTCAGCCCATACAATGTGTCTGGATAGCCTGTCAGCATGATCCGCTTCAGGAGCATAAGGGAGTGATACCGGTACAGGTTGTGCGCAGACAACCACCCCAAGTCCCTAATGACGTCACTGATATGCTCATGCTTCCTTCGACCCGACACAACCCTCGCGCCAAAATTCATCAGCCTCTGGATGCGAGCCATCCGTGTCTGGTCGCAGGAACCATAGACACTAATACAATACCGGATCACCGATACAACCAGCGCCTCCACGATCGTTACAAGCGCCTGCCGCGGCAGGCTATGGCGACAGTGACTCAATCCGACGAGCATGCCGGTACAGCGCCGAACGTACCGTCGCTAACTTTGTCGAACGTTGTCGCTAACTTATCATAGCCTCTGGAAAATTTTTGGTCACGATGTGTAAAATTGATGTCCGGAAGGGTCCTGAAAGTTTGGTGGCGATATCTGCAGCAGTTTAGGAGATATCTACGGAAAAGGACAGGGGGTGGGGGGCGTTTCGGCCCTCCACCCTACGGGGCGCGGATTAATTAAGCCACCGCTTAATAAATCCAAAACAATTGTAAATATTGTTTTTTAGCTGGGACGGTTGCATAGTTATAGAAGACAATAATTGAACACCAGCTATTACTTTGTATGACAAAATTGCTTTATCCATTTTCGAACGTTTCGACTTTATTCAAAGTCATCTTCAGTGTTAACCCGCGCACCGACGGGGGTCTGCGCCAACTTCGCACCGACGCACAGTGTGGCTGAACACCAGTTTAGCGCGAATTTAATCCCAGCGCCGCTCGGATCCACTGAAAATGGTTCTCTGGTTCCAAAACTGACATTTACCCCTCGCCGGACCTATTGGTTTTCAAAATACGCGCCGGCCGAAGGGGGGGGGGGGGGGGTACGACCCCCCGTCGCTGTTTCGCCCCTGATGAAGCTAGAGCCTCGCGGAAAAAAAAAACTAGCGTGTGTGCCGTTACGAGACGCAGCAACTGGTATCCGATTTTAAGGTCTCAGGTTAACCTGTGACCTCTGAGGTCAGGTCAAGTGGCCCAAGGCACGGATTCGTTTTTTGTTAATAACTTCGCGAAAAAATGCCGCAGAGCCGCAATTTTGGCATCATCGTCTTCGCCTCGCTCAGGTGCGTCGAATGGTATACTTTTTGTTCGGCTGAAGTCAACTTAAGGTGTTGACCTCGGGTCAAGGTCAGGTTAGAGCCCCCCAGATCAAGAAGTTGGTCGAAGGAGGTCATGTTGCATATCATTCGATTCGGCAGGTCTTCCTGAGTCCATCGGTGGCTTTCCCGACTCGCTAACTCAATTTGATCGGGAGTTATTGACGAAAAACTCTTATTACCCTAGTGACGTCATAAATGACGTCACGTAAGGCCAATAATGCAAAAGTGAAGCATCGGACCTTGCAAGGAGTGCATGAAAGCACGATTCCGTGTGCTTGAGGTAGTTAATTAGGCTGGAGCCTGTTCGGCCGCGCCGCCCCCGACCTTGGTCAGGTCACGCCGGGCGGCCGACTAGACATGTTCAAAGCTGAATTGACGGCAAATAGGCAAAAAGTGGCAGCTGAAACTTGCTCGCTTATGTTCAGAAATGTGCGGAGAGATCAGCCATGCCCTATTCGTCATATCCATTATTATCCATTTTGACATTTTCCAACTTCTTTATGAAATACTATCGTGAGAACGATACACATGCAGGGCTCCTGTTCTAACTCATTAAACTCAGAAACCATTCATTGAAAAGCTACCATGATAGCAGAAACAGCTTCATCATGAATTGTGCTATCCGGTGATATGCTATTTTCTCATATATCTTCTCGAAGCTTCCGTAAAATTTACATTGAAAACTGGACACATTTCTCAGTACCATAGCCCGATTTCAGGAACCGGAGCGTGGGTCTACTTTCCGCAGGGGTATAAGTCCTCAAATGATAAAGTGGCTTAAAAATAAGGTTCTATCCGATAACTTCGGACAATTTCCTACCCATTGATAGGTATAAATAACAGTTTATCGAAAGTCGGGTTTTTGATTAAATTCGCGCTAATCGGGTATTCGGCAAGACCGTGCGACGAGGGGGGGGGGGCGGATGACCGCCCCCCTGAGATCTCGAGAACGAAGCAAGATAGCGACAAGCGGTAAACGGCATCGGATACGCACGGACAAGGTCTACAATTTTTACTAAGGTCATTTTCAGGTGAGGTCAAAAAGATGACGTCACAGGGGTCGAAAAAGTCAAAATGGCGGCGCTAGATATGGAGAGAGTTTTTTCTCGAATAACTTTCGAATTAGTCAAGATAGGAACAAACTAAGGGCATCATCGTGATCCTCTCGTCAATCCGCATCGAATGATATATATGTTGACATCGAAAGGTCAAGGTCAAAGGTTTACCTCAGGTCACGTGACCTCGAGGTCATCATGTATATCATTCGATGCGTCTTGATGAGCTGAGCACAATGAGACCATCCGCGCGGCTGTATCTTGTTCCTGTACGGAGTTATTGACAAAAAACCTTGGGTGACCTTTGATGACGTCATATGACCTTACAGCTGCCCAACAGCAAAACAGACCTCAAGGTAGTGAAGGTTGATCGTATGTGAAGTCATGTATGGTATATGGGACCATTCCGACCCGTTTTAGTGGTAAAAACAGGGAGTTGATTTTTCCCCCATTGACTTATAATGGGGAGGTCGCGAAATTGACCTGACCTTAGGTCACCGACATCAAAATTCCGAGATATACAAATTATAGCTACTAATGACCTAATAACATCCTGCGACTTTCAAAGGCCTCCGACATCTACTGTAGCTCTGGCACGGTGACAAAGTTGCAAAAAAGTGACTTGAGGTTGGGTCATTCAAAGTGACCTGGTGACCTGACCTTAAAAGTTAGGAGGTTTAAACTTGCACACCATGTGTAAAATTGATGAGAGAATAGTCGTACCAAATTTTGCGGCGCTATGCGCCGCGGTTTTCCCGCTATCCACGAAAAACCTCAGGGGGGGCGGATATCCGCCCCCCCCCCGTCGGTGCGCGGGTTAAGATAGACAAGTACACAATTACATGCTGACATAAATATACAAGCAGTCGATGCAGGGTATCAGTCGATGCACATCACACACTTCACAAAAAACAAGACATAAAACATCATTCGTGTTGATTCGGTCGTCTTCCTACAGAACGATACTTAGTTTAAACGCAGATGATCGGTCATTGATGGTCGGTTTCGCATCAAATATGTGTAAAGATTCTAAAATTCGTAAATTGAAGTTTGAGCGTTTTTGATCTATGATTTTGAAATCGTCTATACTGAAGGGGGTGTCACATGCCAAAGAATGATCCCGTACAGACGATGCTACTGGACTGGATAAGAGTTCGCCCGTTCTGTATGACCTACCCTTGTGTTGACAAACTCTGCTGTGGAGCCTAACATAGGTAGAACCTATGTAAGATCCTTCACACGAAGGACAACTGAACTTATAAACTACAGCAGATCGACACATTTTAGGGATAGAGTCCTTGAACTTGAACAGAGATCCAATAGTGAAGTTGTTTCTGAGAATGAATCGCGGGCTTAGATATGGGTAGTACTTTTGTAGGAGAGCGCTTATTTCATTTTTGAGCTTAATTGAGCGCTTTCCGAAAAACGGCAAAGTGAAAAAGCTTTCGAGTTTTTCAACCTGTGGTTGATTTGTGATAGTAATGAACCTTCTGTTGAGAAACTTGGCAATGGCGGCATCTACCAACGACCTTGGGTAACCGTTATCCAAGAAAAAACTTTTCAGGGATCTTAGCTCTAGATCGAAGAG